TAGTAAGTAGTTGTAACATGACTGTGATTTGTTGCGTTTGCTGTCTGAGGACTGCGTTTTGTTCGCTTATCATTTTTGTAAGTATTTCGGTGTTTTTGACGGATTGTTTTAGTAGTTCTTTGATTTCTGTAGCGTCGTTGCTGTGATTGTTCTGATTTTGGTTGTCTAAGGATGGCGATTGGTTGATTACTTGCGCGTAGCTTCGGCTACCAAAGGTGTTGGTATTATTGTGGTTGATATTCATTACATGTACATTTGTTGATGTCTGAGTTTCTGAGCTGTCCTGTTGTACGTGACAGTTATTGTGTGTCCTGTATCGAAGCGGCGGAAACAGTTTACGTTGCAGTTGCTTTCTGATTACACAGCCTTTGTAGCTGGCTGGGTGGTTTCCACCGCAGTTGCAGCATTTTACATCGTTTGTTTTTCCCGTGTATGGGCAGTTCGCTGTTAGATGCATTTCTGCGCATTTGACACACGCCGGGATTCTGTTGCAGTAATTCTTTGTATGTCCGTATTGTTGACACTGTGTGCATTGCGGTATGTCTTTTTTATGTCTAGGTGGCTCCACTGTTACTATTGTGTTTTGGCTTGACTGTAATTATTGTGCTTAGTACTTTTTAACATCGAAAATTCCCTTGTTGTTGTTTTTGGGTTCGAGTTCTATTAGAAGTAGCGGTAATGGTTGTTTGGTATCATACCTGGTTATGTTGTTTATTGCTCTTACTTGATGCCCGATCTTAGCTAATTCCTCGCACATGTCATTTGCATTTGTTGTTATTTCTCGTTTTTGGCTGGGAGTTACAACCTTCCAGCTTTCATTCTGGTGTGGTGGGTCGTTGTTGCTGTTGTTTTCCTCGTCGTTCTTTTGTGTAGTTCCCGTTTCTGCTTCCTTTATAACTGAGCAGTCGTGGCCTTCGTTTGATTTTTTTGGGTTTGTTGTATCTACAGCTCTGTTTATAAAACAGGTTTCGCCTTTGTTTAGTATTTTTACTGGCGGCTCTTGCTGCTTATTTTCCATCATTGAGCGGTTGACTCGGTCTTGAATCACTCTGTTTTCCCTATTTGTCGCACTTACGGAGGCACTGATTCTCACGTCCGCATAGCTCGACTGCTCGGGCAGAACTGTGTCCATAAATAGTGGTCGTTTGCTAAAACTGTTTCTAATAACTGGAAAGTTTTAAAACGTATTGTTGCACTGCAAACCATCTGCTTTGTATGCAGCAAAGTGATATTCTGAACACAATATGCGTTTCAATAAATAATAATATTTGCCGTTTGAGTGGTTATCATATGAAAATAAATCATACAGTAGGCTAAAAATACCGAACTTTAAATATGTGAAAATTTTGAACCGATGGATTTCTAAGTGAAAAACTTTTATATGTTGTCCGCATTTTCTATTCATATAAGTGCCGAAAAAATGCCGGACGTTAATATGCTAATTTGCTAATGTAGGACATTGACAAATACAAAACATACGTATGCAGAGTATGAACACCATGTATCTACCAACTTTTGAAATTATTTACGAATGACATCCTCTTCTTTCGGAAAATGGTACAGTTGGTGTATTCCACCATTCGTATGAACGGCTATTGCATATGCGCGAATATCCACTGACCTAACCTCTTTCTGCAAATCCATGCCATAAAAGCTTGAAATAAGCTACAAAAAACAACGCGCTCGTCCGCGAGGACGTATTTACCAAAGTCAAATGCAAGTTAATAAACACATAATTTAAAGTACTCAACAAAATAAAAACGAATGACAATTGACATTAGGTACAGATATTTTAGCTGGAAAATTTTTAACTAAGAGAGACAACTCAGGCCATGAAATAATTATTTGTGCTACGTGTATATTTCGTTGTCTGCGATGAGAGACTAAATCTGCGTAAAATTTGTTTTTATAAATTTCTTGAAAAATTCGACGCTTACTGAATATTTCTTCCCGTGAAGAAGCCAAACATTTTTTCAAACGGTATGGAGGAATCATATTAACAAAATGCAAAAAGTTTCATTCTGATTGATTCATGTATCGATGTTCGATGTAGAACATTCATGATGTAGAATGATATATAGAATACAATAATGTATATAAAATACAAAAATCTTTACAACCTCCAGTTCTTTACAAAATGCAAAAGATTTCATTTTGATTAAACTATCCTTGGCAGAATAATCGATGGCTTTATATAAAAAGAATAAATATTGAATTCGTAACCTTCCCCTTTCCGAACTTGATTAAAGACATCATCTAGCAACTGTAATATATTTACTAACTGTCTGTGAGTTGTTTACTAGCGAAGATGAAGAAAACGGTTCTCCAACGGCTCTGAGAACGGCATGTTCGTTCGTTGTCGAAGAAAAGCAAGAGACAAATGAGAACATAATTTAGAGAGGAATTGACAATCAGAGTGGATTGATTATAATCTCTCAATCAGCAGCATTTCTGTACCATGGGAATGATATACGATGGTGGGGTAACGTCTGTCTTCTAGCAGACAATATTCTAAAACACATTTTATTAATAAGATTTCAAAAACATGGAATTAAAAAAATTTTTTAATATAAAATAGCGACTTTCTGTGTAAAAATATTGTCACCTGGAATTTTTCCCGACTTTACGTGTTTTGTAGGCTAATTAAATTGGCCGATTGCTATCTTAGGGTAACCAATAGACGTGAGCGTTTACCTTCTTCTTCCATCAATTCTTTCTCATCCAATGAATTTGCAAACATTCCAATCAGCGTGGTATCCCCTCCTTATCTCGGAATTTCTAACGAATCTTGGGAAAAACAAATTTTACCCAGATTTACTCGTCTGTCGTCTACCGCACATAACCGAACATAATGTTTACCAAAGATACAAGACATAATAAACCAAATGTATATTTTATTGCAATTAATTTTATCATTTTATTTATCGTTTGGCGATGTTGTGTAACAAGAATACGGCGAGCCTTGCGGAGAATGTTTCCGTAAGAAAATATTTACGTCTACATCGAAAGTAACAACAGTTGACATCGCAAATATCACCTGTATCACTTTCCGAAAGAAGACAATCTCCTTCATCAAGATTGAATTTGAGAAGTTGGTAAATACATAGAATTCGTACTGTGCATACGTGTATTTTGTATTTGTTAATGTTCTAAATTAACACACTAACGGCCGGCGTTTTCTCAGTTAAATCTCGTTTCTGGCCACCATCTTTTTTAACCTTTTTGACATTTTTTGATAGCGCTCATATGAACAGAGAATAGGGACGACATATGAATATTTCTAATGTAAGGATCAAATGGTTCTTGCGTTTTTAAAGTTTGGAACTTTTAGCCTACTGCGTTTACTTCTACGTGCTAACCGTTTAAACGGTAAATTTTATTATTTATTTAAACACATAATGTGTTCAGAATGTCGGAATATCGCTTTACGATCAATATTGTGAGATCTTTCCGATTAAAATGAGTTAGCAAATATGCTTCGAACAATGTAGTGTCTGATGACATTTTCATTATAAAAATATAAGTAACGTGTTGGTAAAAGCTTCATCACAAATCAATAATAAGAAAATTTAAATTTTGAATTGAACTACTCAGCTTATCACAGGTCGTTCATATTTGTTGATTCTCAGTCCCTCCTTCTCTTTCACTCGCATTGTCCCTTTCTACGTTCGACACGTCTGGGACCTCAGTTTCGACATATGGAATTGTTTATGTATCTTCATTATCGGAACACTTGAATCCCGAATTTCGTACAATATCAAAATGTTTCCTGTATTATCAAAAAACGCAATAACAGTTGAGAAAGAGTTGTGCCTGCACACGAA